CCTCCCTCTGGGCCCAGCCAGGTTTCAGTAATACATGCCAGGTCTGCCCTCTCGTCTAAAATTAAGTCCCGAACGAGAGGAGCCTTATGAACTACAGACCTGGCATTTAGCGACAGCAGCCGGAGACCAGGGTCCTGATGACTCGTGCCATCTGGCCTTGGAGTGGGACTCATAGGGCCGGAAGGAGGGATCTCTGTGACGTAGCGAGCCCTCCTTCCCCGGTAATGGCCAGCCCTAAAGTCCCCGCCATATCTGCCCCTCCCTGTTAAGACCATAATGCTCCGGCCCACTCCCGTGTCCGTAGTCCCTCCACCCACCCCCATAGCCCCCGTATTTCCCGACAGGCCCTTCGAATCAGTCATCCTGAGATTGGAATAGGCCCAGATCCCCCCAACACTTCTGCAAAGCACTCAGTGTGGGGGAACCCGGTTCCCATCCCAATCCTCGCTTACACACCCAAACGCTCACTCACTCACACCCCCACAAAAATTTAAAATACAACAATATAATATAAAAAGGGAATTACACAGGTTAAAATGTGGGAACATTCACTTACAATACACATCCACACTACTTACAAGAAAAAAATTGTGCAGGTATAAAAGATGATAAAATAAGCGAACAAATCCGTACATGGAGACATAAAGTCCATAGAGCAACAGCACAATAGACCGGTCAAAGCCGGCACGATATGAGGGAGCTAAAGTGGCCTCTTTCTCTAAGGGTCTAGTATAGGAGGAATAATAGTCGAGATGGCTAGGGTAAAGTTTCTGAGGTAGTAGTGGACGATGATTGCCACGATAATAGATGCAGTCCGGGGGGAGAGATGCAGAACTAAAAGTCCAGCAGGCTAAGTCCATAAAGATGAAACGTAATTGGAGGGGCCAGCTAGGGTGGATGATGAGGATGGTAAACAGAGATGCCATCCCCCAGCCACAAAAAAGGGCAAACCGGGGGGGGCTTGCACGCCCAATAAGATGGAAAGACGGCTGTTGCAGATTGAAAGGGGAAGGTGCAGGAGGGCCGTAATAGCGGCTACAAACTAGCCACTCGATCACCCTGGGCCCTAACCCCTCCATCCAGGCTAGCCACCCCTTCTGACCTACAAGTATTTTTTTTAATTACAATTTAAAATGAATTTTTAATCAAAAATGAGTAACCAGGTTTAATATGTTTTTCCTTAGCTCCAGCGACGTCATGAGCAAATGAAAAAGAATTTGGAGGCCCAACACAAAGAACTGGAGGAAAAACGACGTCAGTTTGAAGATGAAAAGTCAAATTGGGAAACTCAGCAACGTATTTTGGAACAACAGAATTCTTCAAGGTAATTTTTTGGTATTTCTGATGGTATGATTTTGAATTATAAAGATAGACTCCCATTACATAGAACAGTGTCTTGTTCTGCATACAATCCTATTTGCATAAACCAAATTTGACCAAAACTTTAGATGTATCTAAAAATTGACTGCTTATTTTGGTTGACACAAATAGAATTGTATATTTGTGAGCTATAATTCAAGTTTGCTATATTTTAAAGATAATATATTTGTATCCCTTTCATAAATTGGTCTTGTCTGTATTTATATGAATTGATTATTATTAAAAATACAAACAGTATCTGATTAAAATTTCTCTTAACAAAGATAATTTTTTCCTGATCAAAAACTTTGTCTTTTTTCATTCTTTTTCCATTCCCATTTCAAGTTATTTTATATATATATGCCTGAAATTGCCATCCCTTTTATAGCCATATTCTTCTAGCACATAGAATAATAGGATTGGAAGAGATTTTGGAGGGCTTATAGTACAACCCTCTGCTCAAACAGGAGACCTATAACCTATATCATAATGATAATTATAGGCATATAACCTATATCATTCTAGACAAATTGTAGTCCATTCTCTGTTTGAAAATCTCAGCAATGAAGTACTGACAACTTCCAGAAGCAAGCCATCCCATTGATTAATTTTTCTTATTAATCGTTATCAGGAAATTTCTCTTTGGTTCTAGGTTGGATCTCTGTTTAATGATCTTCCACTCATACATCTTGTCCTGCCCTTATGTGCTTTGAAGAATAATACCCTATCTTCAGACCCTTAAGTATTAGAAGATTGCTATTATATCTGGTCATCCTCTTTGTAGAGAAGACATACCTAGTCCACTCAATTATTCATCATATGATTTAACCTGCAGATCTTTTACCAGCCTTGTTGTTGTTTTCTGCACTCTTTCTAGGGTTTCAACATATTTTTTGTATTGTGGTGAACAGAACTGGGTGCTGTATTCCAAATATGGTCTCATCAGTGCAGTATAAAGTGATATTTTCTCTTCATATGTTCTTGAAACAATATCTCAGTGATACAGCCTAGGACTTCATTGGCTTTTTTGGTAGTGCAGCATACTCCTGCAGTAGTAGCTGTGAGAGAGAGAGAGCTGGATCTCTCCCTCTCAGCTACTGTTGAGCCATCTGTTCTGTACCTATGCATTTGTTTTTTTCCTGTCCAAGTGCAGGCCCTTTCTTTTTTCATCACTGAACTGCATCTTGTTGGATAAAATATGTCAAGATTCCGCTGAATCTTGAGTCTATCTTTCAGAGTGTTAGCAATTTCCCCCAGTTTGGTGTCTCTGCAAATTAAATGAATTACGTTTTTCCTTTCCTATGTGCAGGACCTTTTCTCAGCACTAAATTGAATTTTGTTGGATAGGGCCCAGTGTTTAAGTCTATCAAGATCCCTCTGAATCTTGAGTCTATCTTCTAAAGTGTTAGCTATTCCTCACCACCCACCCCAATCTTGCCATCTGCAAATATGATGAATTCCCCTTCTATCCCCTCATCTAGATAATTTTGAAGACATAGAAGAGCTCTGGATATAAAACAACTTGAGGTATCCCACTGCATGCTTCCTTCCATGTAGAAGTAGTTCCATTGTGGACTACACACTGAGTGTGGTTGGTCAGCCACTTGTGAATCCATCTGGTGGTGGTACTGTCTATCCCACATTTTTCTATCCACCAAGAAGTGGGTTGTGGTCTACTTTGTCAAATGCCTTATTGAAGTTGAAGTAAACTATATCCACTGCATTTCCCTTATTCACTAATTTAACCACATTTGTCAAAGGATGTATTAAGGTTTGTGTGGCACAATCTGTTTTTGATAAATTCATGCTTGCTTCTAGTAATGGTTTTGTTCATTTCTAAGTGCTCACAAAGTGCTTGATTATCTTTTCCAGGATTTTCTCAGATATTGATGTCTGGCTGATAGGTTTGTAGTTTCCTGAATCTGTTCTTTTCCCCTTCTTGAAGATTGGAATCACATCAGCCTGTTTATGTTTCCTGCCATAATCTATATAATTTAAGGCCATTTTTCCCTTATAACTATTATTGTTACAATTAGGCAAAAACTCACTTCACATTATATTTGCATAATGTTCAGTACTGACAGCTTTTCAGAACATAAGTTTTGGGAAAGGAAATATTAGATATATAAGTAGCATAATAATACAAAGAGAATATTGATTATAATATATACTGTGTCTAATATATCTGATGAGTTCTTTTTTCTCCTCCAGAACTTTGGAAAAAAACAAAAAGAAAGGGAAGATATTTTAAAGATATTTGCAAACCACCAGTTTTGTTTAATTGCCAATATTCTACCCTTGGACATCAGTGTGTCTTGGATCTGTTTGACCAATCTTGCACCGGTTGTATCCATCTGTTTGGATTTATCAGCATGATAAGTTTTTGTGTTAATTTTGATGACACTTGAGAATGCCTTGAATTGTTTAGAATGTTGTAAGCTTAGGAAAACAGCTCTAAGTACTTTTTTTTTTACAAAATACAAAAAAGAACAGACATCATTTAAATGTAAAGAAATTTTCTGTTGTACAATCATATTCTGGTGGTTTGATTTGTTTACAGAATATTCCAATATATAAGGACTTGGGAAAATTTTCCATAAGGATACATTGCCATAATATAATATGAACTATGCGTCTATTATATAAAATTCCATTCAGTATGTCATATATAATAATGTAATTTAGTCTAACACAGTTGGCCCTATTTTTGACATTTCCATTGTTTTAAAAATAGACATGGAAAGACAAACTTATAGGCTTATGGGGCACCTAACAGCTTTTTATAACAATCTTTTGTTTGTTTGGGATTCATTAAATATGTATGCTATTCTCATTTAGTATTTGCTTTAGCCCAATGGATTTCATTACTGCTTCATTTTTTGTAATAACATATAAATTAGATATATTTCCACTTATTGCCTCTGCTAAATAGAATGTAGGGTTTTTTTTCATATGATAGGAACCAGTGAATAAAACATTTTCTTTAATTCTCCTTTTACATTTTATGATAAGTAGCAAGAAAATGCATTTATAAGTCATTTCTAAAAAACAGTGTGAATTTAACCACCAACATGTTTCTACCTGCGTGCAGTCAGTCTGGAAATGAGAATCATGGCCTTTTGAGAAAAGTCACCATTCTATATTTAGCTGTATTCATATACTGCATTTCTGTATTTTTGTTTGTATTGTAAAAATTAACATAATAAACAATGTTGTGATGTAACATACTTTAGTATAAAAGATTGTTTGTTGAAAAATGAGATTATTTTAAATCCTGGTACTATTTTACCTGGCATTTTATACCTATTTTATGTATTTTATTTAAATCCCACCTTTATTATTTTTGTAAATAACTCAAGGCAGCAAACATGCCTAATACTACTACTTTCTATTTTCTCCACAACAATCCTGTGAGGTAGGTGGCTGAGAAATACTTTATAAACACGATTGGAACCTTAGTCTTTGAGCAAAGCAATCATTAAGCAAGACATCACATGACTATTTCACTCAAAGACCACAAACCCAGCACTTCAGTTACAATAGTTAAGTGATCTGGATCATTAAGCAGATGGAACAAAAAGGCTGACTGCCAAAGAATTTCAGTTCTTTCTAGCTGAAATACTCCCAAAAGGCAGCTGTTTTGAGAGAGAGAGGACTGCCTGCTGCAGGGTTTCAAATTTGCACAAATATGAAATCCAACAGGCAGCTGATTTGTTCTCAAATATTTGCTCTCCAAAGGATTTTCACTCTCTTCCATGGACAGAGAGGTTTTTTTTTGACAATAATGAAATCTTGTCCTCTATCTCTCCACTTATTTATACCCCTCAGACAGGGTCCGCAACTTGGGAGTCCTCCTGGANGCCAAGTCTTTGTATTCTTTGGGTATGCCCTGGGTTGGCATAGTGTAAGCGGGCATTGCTGTTTATTGGTGCTCTGCCCCTCAGTTTCTTTTTGTAGATTCTCAGCAAAAGTCACGTGCATCTGCACTCTTATGGTGCCTTGCTTCCAATTAATTTTGGGGTTCCATTTTTTCAGCCATGCAAGACCCAAAACTAGTGGCCATTCCATGCCAGGTGCCACTATAAGTGTAAATATTTCTTCGTGGCTTCCAATGCCTATCTGTAGAGACTCAGTGGCAAATGAAGCTGGCTCCCCCCCTGCTATTGAGCCATTTAGTTGGCAAAAAGCTATGGGGCTTTTCAGCTTCCTTACATTAATCCTCAACTTTCTTACCAGGTTGGGCTGATCAAACAGCGGGTGCACCCTGAGTCCACTAAAGCAGAGATTTTTATTCCCCTCTCCCAGTTGGGGATAAATAGTCTTAGGGGGAGGGTAAGCAGTTTAATTGGTTTCCTTACCAGTGGTTCGGCCTCTGGATTGCTTCCAGATGAGTATGGTTCCTCCTGGGAAGCTGAGGTTTCCTCCTCAGAGGGGAGGGGGTGGAGATTCTACGATCTCCCTGCTCCTCAGGGCCATCTCCTTTCTGCGCTGGTCAAATTTTGTAGATTTCCCCCCCCAATGGGCGCTCTGGTTTCCTTGACGGTGCTTGAGAACGGCATTCTGCAGCTTGAAACAGGCTGAGGGTTTCGGAGAAGATGACGTTAGAGGATTGAAAGGCTCTTGCTTCCATTGAGGTGGGGCTTTCTTCCACACTCACCCTGCTCGATACTGGTTCCTGGCCATGTCGATCTCTGACTTTTCAGCAGTGTGATACCACTCATGTAGGTGGTTTGGTGCACCTCGAGCCATGCAGGCATTGTAGAGGTCATCACTCAGCCCATCCCTGAACCAGCTTACCAGGATATCCTCTGGTCAGTTCACATGACACGCCAGGTCTCGGAATTCTTCGGTATACTCTGCCACTGGCCAGTGTCCCTGCTTCACAAGTTTAATGCAGCCGTGTGCTTTGTGGTTTGCGAGGGGGTCCTTGAAATGTCGACGCAGGACCATCATGAAACGGTCGAAGTTCCGCAGTTCTGGTGCATCAACATCAAGTAGGATCACCATCCATCTGGCAACGGCTCCTTCCAGGGCTAGGGCAACTACACATACTTGGGTTCCTTGGGTTTGAAAATCACGCCCGTATTTTTGCGTGTAGGTGAGCACATGTGCCACAAAGAATCCCAAGGGCTCAGAGGGGGATTAGTCCCTCTGGCGTCATCCGCGGGTGCTGCCCTTCCAATGCCTCTTGGCTGCCATCCTGGCTCCCCTCGGATGTTGAGATTTTCCAAAATCTCCATAACCAACTTTCGTGTCTCTTCAGACGATATATTGCTTCTCCGGGTTTACCATTTTGCAAAGATGTTACTTTATGTAAGGGCTCCTCTCCTAACTTAAAGTGAAGACTCTTGAAATGGAGTATTTCAAAAGGAACCTTTTATTAAGAAGAATGGAAGCCATTAAATTCAAAGCAACATCTGACTCCCCTTAGGCAATGAAAGTAGAATTAAAGCAGTTGAGACCCCTCCCATTTGTTAGAATGCAGATTCTAGCCAATACACAAGTGTGAAGATGTTCCCTTTATCACTGCCCTGCGAGCCGAATAAACATACATTCCCATGGCTGTCTTCCGTTAGACAGTAAAGTGAAACGTCCTAAATGGTCATCATAAACGTTCCCCCAAAAGGTGATGGGATCTCAGGCTTTTTGGCACCAGGAAACCAGTTGTAAAATATCAGTTGTCACAGGCACTGCTAATAAATTGACTCCCAAGGCCCCCCTCCTCCCAGTTAAATGGCAGTATCATTTTAGGGATCTGACAACACCTACCTGATCTTAATGAATACAAGAGCAATAGCACTTAGACTTATATACTGCTTTGCAGTGCTTTTTACTGCCCTGTCTAAGCGGTTTACAGAGTCAACATATTGTCCCCAACAATCTGGGTCCTCATTTTACCAACCTTGGAAGGATGGAAGGCTAAGTCAACCTTGAGCCAGTGGGACTTTGACTGCTGAACTTCTGGCAATCAGCAGTCAGCAGAAGTAGTCTGCAATACTGCACTCTTAACCACTGCACCACCACTGGGACCTGATGGATTATATCCCAGAGTTCTAAAGGATCTGGCAGATGTCATCTCAGAACCACTGTACCACGTCTTTCAAAAATCCTGCAGCACCAAGGAACTACCAGAGGACTGGAAAAGAGATGATGTGGTTCCCAACTTCAAAAAAGGAGTGCGGGGAGACTTAGGAAACTACAGACCAATCAGCCTAACAACAATACCCAGGAAGATATTGGAAAAGATAATTAAACAAACCAGATCTGCCAACATCTAGAAACGAGTAAAGTAATAATAGTAGTCAGCATGGGTTTGTTATAAACAGATCATGCCAAACCAATCTTATTTCATTCTTTAACATAGTGATTAAATTAGTAGACCAGTAAAATATTGTGGACATAATATACTTAGACTTCAGCAAGGCATTCAACAAAGTAGACTGCAACCTACTTCTTGTTAAGCGAGAAAAAAGTTGAATAGATAGCATCACCACCAGATGGAATCGTCTGGCTGACAAACCATACTCAATGGGTCTATGTTAATGGGTCTATGTCTACATGGAGGGAAGTAAGCAATGGGGTACCACAAGGTTCCGTTTTAGGCCCAGTACTCTTCAATATCTTCATTAGATGAGGGAATAGAAGGGGAACTTACCAAACTTGTAGATGATACTAAGCTGGCAGGAATAACTTAACGTCCTAGAAGATAGGCTCAAGATCCAAATGGAGGCATTGTAGAGGTCATCATTGTAGAGACTTGAACACTCGGCCCTATCTAATGAAATTCAATGTAGAGAAAAGTAAAGTCCTACACTTAGGCAAGAAAAACCAAAAGTACATATATAAACTGTGAAACCAGGCTTAATAGCTGTAACTGTGAGAGGGATCTTGGAGTCTTCATGGACAACCAGTTAAACATGAGCCAACAGTGTGCAGCAGCATCCAAAAAAGCCAATGTCATCCTAAATTGCATTAAGAGAGGGATACAATCAAGATCAAGTGGTAGTAATACCACTCCTTAGTAAGACCACACCTAGAATACTGTGTCGAGTTTTGGTCACCACACTAGAAAAAAAGATGTCAAGAAAAAATGCAGAGAAGAGCAACCAGGATGATTAGGGCACTGGGGACTAAAACATGAAGAACGGTTACAGGAATTGGGCATGTCTAGTCTAGTGAAGAGAAGGACCTGGGGAGACAATATAGTAGTATTCCAATATTTGAGTGGCTGCCACTGAGAGGAAGAAGTGAAGCTATTTTCCAAGACACTAGAAGGCCAGACAAGGAATAATGGATCAAGGAGATTCTGATCAAGGAGAGATTCAACCTAGAAATAAGGATAAATTTTCTGTCAATGAGAACAATCAACCAATGGAACAGCTTGCCTTCAGAAGTTGTGAGAGCTTCATCACTGGAGACTTTCAAGAAGAGATTGGACTGCTATTTGTCAGAAATGTTTGGACAGGCGGGNCCCTGAGTCCCCTCAGGGAAAAGGGCGGCCTATAAATGTCAAATAAATGACTAAAAAATTATTGTTTTCATCATTAGTTTTATGCTTTGAAAAAAATAGTGATAAATTAATGGGAAAATGTCAATTAGGAACCAAATTATGTGCAGCTTTTCAGTTTTTTAAAATGAGTTCTGAATATAACTTTCAGAATTAATTTCAGAAAAAAGAAAATTATTGTGAAAAACTGAGAATCTAATATTGCAGATGTTAGTGCATAAGTGAATATCATGTATATTTCTAGACTAGATGAACTATTATACTGAAAATCTACAAGTAAACTATAAATGCTGTTATTTTTGATACTTCCACAAATCATATTGAAATGGGTGGTAAAGTATCCATTATAATTATTATCCTTTCCCCCAAAAAAACTTAAATTTGACACAAGATTGCTTCACTGTTTCAGTTACAACCATTTTCCTATTTTAATTATTATATTTTCATGGTTCACATACTATATGGCTCAGAAATGACATCTGTCAACATGAGGGCTGGACTTAGAATTGCATGAGGACACTCCAAATGCAGACAACACCGAAAGTTTTTTAGCAAGTTAGGCTTCAGACTTTTTAAGAGTGAAGTGAACATTTTAAGAATCATCAAAGCTTAAAACATTCATTTTGAATCTAAAACTAAAAAGAACAGTGACAAAACCAAAAAGATTGGAATTGTGACTCCAATTCTGAAATGTTTGCTAACGGAGAAAAGGAATATTTG